GGTCGCTTCACATGAGTGACAGGACCCCTTTCATGTGTGCTGCCCTGCACGCCGGATGCCATCAGCCACATACAGCCGCCGCTGGCTAGAAGTGAAATGATGGTTGAGGGAGGAATGAGAAAAGAAAGAGATGGAAGAAAGTAATTGAAAGAGTAGGAGACTTCTCACACCTCACCTGATTGGCTTGGCCCTCAGCCTCCCTAAAATAAACTGTCATGAACAATGCAACCCGGATAAGGCATGATTAATCAGTTACAATAAACACAATCTCACATTTCTTTTTGACACTGTAGCCAAAGTTACACAAAAGCCAATGTCTCTTAGCTGCTTGCTCTGTATGGCTCATGAGCTTTTAGAATTTTTCTGCAGTAACATTAATGAGATTAGACAACATTCCTGCAACAGTACCAGCTGAACAACATACTGAATCCTTTTTTTTTTTTTAAATGAGACAATACAGTATCTCTTGAATCATTCTAAACCTTCTACTTGCCTTCGTGACCCTTGACCAGATAAAACAGGGACATTCTGGGACCTACAATGGTGAATATCACTTCCAGCTGGCATTGTCCCCACCTGCTTCACAAAGGCCTGTGTCTAAACCTGTACTCAAGAAACCACACCATGATCCTTATAGTTTCTTCATAAATATCAACCAGTACACAAAGAAATGTGACAAAGAATGGGTGAGCGTGCCCATGGAAGCTCAGTATTCAACTTAAATTATGTTTGACCAATCATTTGGACCCAGAGACGGGGATATCAAGCCATGCTGTCCAGTAGATTCCAAAATAGGGTGGAGCCCTTCCAAAGGGACAAAAGATATGTGTGGTTGTGAGATGATTAATGAGAAAAGAAAGAAAAACAAAGTTCTGCTGTTGTACTCTAATTTGTGTATAGGCTATAAATGTATGTAAATATACATGTAAGATGTAAATTTGTATGTGTATATACTATTTGCTTTTCTTTTTCCTTAGTTTTTTTGCACTTTTATCTATTGTTTTCTGTTTTCAATGAAGAACAGTTATATATTTATGAAATCATGAGAAGTTTACAGTGGAAATATCTGTGGAAGTAAATCCAAAATGTTTTAGGGTGCATTTTGAGGGCTACTCAGTTTGCAGCTCTGCATTTGAGAGCGTGCAGGCACAGATTTGTAAGCACAGACTCAGATTTGAGTGAATAATCCCAGCCATGTACAGTATGTGCTCATTTCTGAATTTGCATTCTCAGATTTTGCCACTGGGGTCAGTGTGAAAGTTTGTCTGTGCCACAAATTTGTGTAAGTGCATAAAACAAGTTCTGCGCTGTTCAGTTTGCAAATCAGAATTATAGAGCACGCAGGAACGGATTTGTAAGAGCAGAGACATATGTGCAGGATTACACTGTCCACTCTGATTGTGCTCCTACAAATCTGTGCCTGCGCGCTATCAAACGCTGAGTTCCAAACTGAGAGGCACTTGAAATGTGGTTTATGTGCCTTCAAACATTTTTCCGATGATGTACTTTTTTAAATATGGTTTCCTTTTTGCAAAGAGTCATGAGTCAAATACTGTAATGCTGGCGTCATCTTTTATAGGCTTATAATATTTGATTCAATTCAAAGAGCTGTTTAATTACTGCAGTGGAGATGAATAATGAATCTGTTTTATGTAAAAAAAAAGAGAGAGAGACAGAGAGAAATACTGAGTAAAAATATAAAGTAGCATAAAATGAAAAATACAACTAAAAATACTGCTCAAAGCACTTACGTACAGTACTTAGATGTAGTCTAAGATCGCTTTTTGGGAAAGGGGAAACAGATCATAGGGGTTTTATGTGTGTGTAAATGACAGGTATTTCATTCCTCTGCAGATACAGTATCATAACACTTAGGCTACAGGAATTCAGAGTATGTGTCAGGCTCTTCAGTCTAAATTACCTTCACAGCGCAGATCCTCACCAAACTCAGTAGTGAAGTTTTTCTAGTGCTGTGAATCCACAGTGACATTTATTCCAATTTGACATGGCATTTGCCCTGAACAAGCCCTAAAACTGAATGTCATCACTTCAGTCACAAAGAACACCATAATAAGCCCTTTGGAGCCAGTTCACAGCACGCACTACTGTGGAGCAAGCCTGGCACAGCGCACGGTGTTATTTTGCATCCTGGCCTCTCATCCACACAGATAATCAACTGCTGTTTCTATGGCAAAGAGTTGGGAGTCCATTGGCATGCAGTTGGAGGCCCATCTGGCCATTGGAACGCTTTCTAATTTGTGTTAGTTGATGTTGTGTCATCCTTGCAACACACAAGAGCACCCTCCCCCACACCCACACACACATACACACACTTCTTTCAAGAAAAGTGACAGAGGAGCAGCTCTGGAACTAAAAGAGCAATCCATCATCTGAATAAAGCTCGGTTTGACACCACACAGAGTTGTTAGACTGTACAAATACATGCACATGGAAAATATATATTAATAAATGCTTTCACAAAACATTTTCATGTTATTATATTATTTTTCTATTGTACTTTGTAAAATACAATTCCATGGAAAGCATTTAAAAGAGCCTTTCTCCACACACATTTTCTGCAAATGTTTGAAAGAGAAAATTGCATATATTAAAACCCTTTTCACTTTAAACAACCCCTTTAAGAAGAATTCGGGAGGTTGAGAAAAAATTGCCACACATGCATTTTAAGTGACCTTGTGTTAGATTACCACCCTGTCCTTGGCTGAATGATTTCAAAACCTGCCGTGGGCAAACTTAAAACAGGCTTTGTTGTTGTTGCTGTTTGAATTTTTCTCAGTACATATTGTAAGACAAACAAGTGCAAGATATATTAGTTGCTCTTTCAGTTGCAGAACATTTAATTTAAAGCTCTAATCAGTATGTAATAATAACAATGGATTAAATGACCATGTGCAATTCAAATGGCATTGCTTGTGGTGAGAAACCCACAGAGAATTAATACCTGAGTCTGCAGCTCCCCTCAGCACATGAAGTGTTTCAGGGTCTTTCAGGTCCATGTTTAGATTTCTGTCTGCAACACTGCTCTTTTGGTTCACACTCACTGGTCTCATAGCATTGTTTTCGGGCACACCAGGCAGCTTTGTCAGAGAAAATCTCATTTTATGAGACCTACCAAACATCAAGTCAGCAAAGTTAGGAACTAGCTGGCGAACGCTATGGAACATTTAGCAGCTAAACAAGCAAATATTTTCCTGGTGGAATCTAACCAGTGCTCAAATAATTGGCTGACACTTCACAGATACTTTTGTTCAAAGCAATGTATATCTTTGCATGGTGGTGCAGTACTTTTGCTTCACAGAAAGAAGATTTGAACCTGGCAGCTGACTGGAGCCTTTCTGTGTGGGGTATAGATGTTCTCCCTGTGCCTGAGCTGGTTTCGTCTGGGTGCTCTGGCTTCATCCCGCAGTCCAAAGACATGCAGGTTAGATTGACTGGTGACTGTAAATCGCCTGTAGTAGTGAATATCACACTTGCAAACAAATTTTAACAAGAAAAAAATGATAATTTATCTTGAGGTAGCTTATCGGCTTTATATGGACCTTGTGTAGTCACACATTGATAAATGTCGAATTAATATATACAGGGGTTCTTACCTGGACCCTCAGAAGGTTCTAGATGCAACTATATATGGGGATTCTACATAACAATGCTCAGATAGAGTTACAGTGGTAATCTTGATTATATGGAGACAAATGAAGGAACCTGAAATGTTTAACTTTGGCATTGCAGCGACAGGGAAAACACATATATAAAAGGCCCTTTTGGTTTCATTATTGCTAGAGTGATGTATTTCATGGCACCCATACCAAATACTGTGTATATATCTTCTAAACTGAAATATAATGCTGCCACCTGCTGGAGGCAGATGATTAATGTTTTATACATTTGGTTACAGGGTTCTTTTGTCTACATGGATGTAATGCAGTATTGCAAAGACATCTGAAGCTCACTGTACTTACTTTACATGTAAAAAGGTAGAGTGTAAAAGCCAGGAGATTCATTATTATTAAACTTGTATATGAGCATAATTACTCCAAAAAGGAACAGAGGCATATAAGCAATGTTCTCAATTATTCAGTTTTATTCCAAAACATTCATCAGGAGCAGCAAAGGTGACAAGGAAACAACAGTTAATAAATACCAGGGGTGCCAGCTGATTTCTCAGTTACACCAATTAGCTTGATGAGCCCACACATCAGCACAATTCAACAACAGCATCAAGTCACAATGCTCACAACCTGTTTTTTTGAAAGCTTTTAAACAACTCTTCAAAGGCTTGTCACGTTTGCCTGTTATTGGTGGTTTTAGACAGTGTTAACTATTGTAACACTCGTAGACAGGATCATTTCATTGGTTCATCAGTCACAGGCTCGGTGATTTGATCAGTGCTCCTCATAGCCATACATGTATATGTCCAAACTCAGAATCTGGACAAAATGGTTAATGCAAAACTTTAACTGAACGCAGACAGGCAGGATTTTGTGCCTGTTGCTAGCCAAGCTCTTTGGTCTTACAGGCCTGTTAATGAATTGTCATTCAAACTCCACCAGTGGTAGAAGATGTAAAGTCCTATAGTAGCAATACCTCAAGTTTCAAGTCCTGGACTGGTGGAGGAACATCACTAAAGTAGGCCTGTGTATTATCCAGATCCCCAGACTCGCACAGGGCTGACGCTAGACTCACACCTACAGACAAATTAGTCACTAATCAACATAACCTGCATTCCATTAGACTGTGGGAGGAAGGCAGAGGACCAGGACGAAACCCACACCGGCATGAGGAGAACATGCAAACTCCACACAGAAAGGCCCTGGTTGGCCAGGAACCTGTAAAGCATCTAACATTTTTCCATCCCTAATATCATTTATTCAGAGTCTTTGTGTATCTTAATGAATATCTAACAATCAACATAAAATTTTATCATTTCCTAATGTCACCAACTCTGAAACAACCTTTCAACCAATACACAGGATTAGTAATGCAAGTTCAGGGAAAATTCTTTATTTCATGTATGTCACTTTGGCCGTGTGTTCAGAAATGTAAATGGAGCCCTTGCAGAAGGATTTAAATAGGTTTTATACCCCTTTAAAGTAAAGACATTAAAACACTGCAGAAACAGTAAATAGTATTGTTCATACAAAAACAAGTGTTAAAAAAAATGCAAAAACTAACACAAAGTCACAAACCATACTATCAAAACTTAAACTGACAGGTGCCTTGTTTAACCAAGGTGAACAAACCCATTCCATATTTACAGTTAAATATCTGGCTCTTTACTTTCTGGACAAAAAGTGTCAAGTCAGAACACCATGACCATGTGTAGCATGAAACCAGATGAAACCAGATGGAAAACAGTTATTTGTGTAACATACAAAGTCTGTCCAGACAAACTACTTATCCACAAACCTTTTTAATCCATTAAAAAACTCGATCAAACTCGGTTTGACTGGTGGTGGCAGGGTTTCTGTTTTGATTGGGCTGCTGCTGAGGCATGTGGCCTCTCCGTCTGGGAGGGGCCAGGTATTCAAACATGGAGGTGTTGTGAGTGGAGAGCATGTTCTTCAGGTCTGATGGCATGGGGTCGGACCAGAAGAAATCATGGTTGAGTGCATCGTCACTGTCTGTGCGCTGTGCTGGGTCAAGGACCAGGAGCTTGTCAATCAGGTCCAGAGCATAGGGGTCTTTGACATAGGCTTTAAGACGATCTTTCACTTTTCTCTTCTGGCCTTTAGGCAGCTCCATCTTCTGGTACAGCTCATATTTCTTATCCACACCAGGCCACACCTGATAGAGAAAGAAAATGCTTCAGGACCCAGCTGACAAAGAAGACGTATGATGAAGAAATATACTGCCATGCAGTGCAGCTGCTCTTTACCTCAGCAGTGATGGAGCCACAAAGCTGGCTGATAAGAGTGAGCTGGTGCTGTTCTGTGTTGCCCTGCATGATTGGACTTCTGGTCCACATCTCTGCCATGATGCAGCCTGCTCCCCACAGGTCAATAGGAGGACCGTAGTCTCGTTCACCTAACAAAACAATTGACAGTAGGTATTCCTCTTCCTCTAGACTGTGTGAAATATGAAGGGGATCTGTAGAGTCTGACCACTAGCAGCACAATGGAGCAATGTTTTAACCACAGGTCCCTGTTTTGTGTGTGTACATATGGGACTGCACAAGGTACTCATCTGAGCATAGGTGATGACCCTGTAGACTTGCCTTCACTCCTACACCCGCACAGAACTTGTACTGGTGTTGGTGATATTATAGTTACAGTCTCACTGGAATTGTTAATAGTCTTCCTTTATTAGACAATCTTGGTAGTGGTTGGATAACTGAGTGAACCTGGCTCTCAGAGGTGACCGCCATTACAAGCCAGCTGGGCCGGCCACTGCTTAACCTGAGCAAATACAATGCAGATGCTGTGTGTCAAGCTACATATCTGCTCTTTGCTTGGGTGAGGATAGGGTTCAGGGATGCTTAGTGTTAAGGGTAGGTTAGGTTGGAGAATGGTGTCGCTTACTGTGGGGCTCTGAAGATTTATGACAGCATGACCTGACAACTCCTCTCCTTGGGGCCAAATAATGGGTAACAACTCAAATACTGAGCTTCCATATGACTGCTCTCCCATTCTTTGGCACATTTAATTGTGTATTATTGACTGTCTGTTACCTAGCAGCAGCTCTGGAGGTCTGTACCATAGTGTGACCACACGGTTGGTGTAGCGGTTCCCCTGGCTGTTTTTAGCCAGGCTGAAGGCTCGAGCTAAACCAAAGTCAGCTAGCTTTAGGACACCGTCTCTTGTGATGAGCACATTGGCCGCCTTCATGTCTCTGTGAAGGATCTGATCCAACAGAAAGCCATATCATGTTAAGACCAAGACAGTATAACAGATTGACAAATAACAAATGGCTCTTGAGTTGAAGCTGTGATGAGACCAATGTTCTTAATGTTTTTAAGAGCATCAGAGCTCATAAGTAGCCTCTGGGTGGTCTGCAGATGTATACTAATTCTGTTATTTTCTTTCCCAGATATGCTTTACTAAAGAAGTAAAACTGGTTTTATTAATTTGAGATGCAGATATCACGTCAACTACAGGATACAGTGTCAGTGTAAATGAGGCATGACTGGTACTTTAGCTTTATGTGAAGCTGTTGGTAGTTCTGTACCAGTAACAGCCTTATGGTAAAAGAACCAGTGAATGGTCATTAACAATTTCCATGGAGTGCTGTTCTACTTTTCACATATTATTTCTGACAGTGGCTCACCTTATTTCTGTGGATGTAATACAGTCCATTAAGCAGCATTTGCATAACCTTCTTGATTTCTGCCAAGGTGAACTTCACATTGGCATTACTAAGCAGCCCAGCCAGGTCATGCTCACAGAAGTCAAACACCAGGTAGATGCTGCCTTTATATCTGTTGTACTGAGTAGCTGTGAGAACAAGGAAAGCATTTTAAAAAAATGAACACATCCACCAACAAACTAATTTTATGTAACCTATGCTTCCACCATTGGCGCAAGACACATTTCGCTAGTTTACATGATGGAGCAAACGAGGGACCTAAAATGAAACTACATGAACACAGATGAAGACAGGAAATTACAGTTATAGCAAAGTTATAGACTGGAGACTCGTGACACCGACCTTTGGTTCTGCAGATCTCAATTAGATTAACCACGTTCTCATGTTTGAGCAGCTGTAGGATCTTGATCTCTCTCAAAGCTGTGATTGGGAACTGAAACAAAGCAGCCAGATGAAGCTGTAACTGCAGAATCACTGATGCACTAATAGAAATGCAACATTTTGCCAATACTTATTTTTATGTAGCCAGAGCAGAGTGAAGATAAACAGCACTACGAGTTTACATTGTATGCAGCAGCAGGTCCCAGTTCTCTGCAGCAATTTTGCATATTGGGCTACAAAAATCATAATCAGACTCCATATGGTCTCTTACCCCTTCTTTCTCATTTTCCATCAAAACTTTCTTCAGTGCGACCTTCTTCCCTGTGTGTCTGTGTTTTGCTTTAAACACCTCCCTGTGAAAGAAAGCGAGAAATACAATTCAAGAGACAGCTACTAATAAGGCAGCAAAGCACCTGACAATTAGATTTTGAACATAAAAAAAAAAAAAATCCACTTGGATTTTTATTATACATGTATTGTAAATGCTTTTTACATTCAAGCAAGTGCCTCTCATTTGTCATTCTGGAAGTCATACAGTCCAGTCTAAATTAACTCGAACAACTACATCCCTCTATTAAAAATGGCCATACCAGTAATTCTGGAAGTACTATCTGCTTGCACTTCCCATTAGTGCTAGTCATTTCTAATATTTCACAGAGTTCTCTTCATTATCTAAATGAAATGTCCAGATGATAGCCACAACTTAAAACTCAATGCACTGCCTTACAAGATACCCATCCACAATAATAACTAATGATTTTGCTTGTAAAACTATTTTTGAAGCTAAGTGCATTAACACGTCTGAAACATCAAGTGAAATGGGACAGTACGTGGCGTCTCTCAGCTTTACTCCCTCCATGACACTGCTGCCTACAGCCCTTCTGTTGTTATTCCAACTTCTCTACCCTGTGTTGTCAAAGTACAGTGATCTATGTTAATACGGTAAATTAGCCCAATCTGCCACCTAGTGAAGGTTCTAACAAGTGTTTTCCAAACCACAAAATAATCATTTTAAAAGACACTGCCCCAGTAGACCTCCCTCCAGCTAAAAGTCTGAAACAGTGGCTGCCAGACCAAAGAGTATGGCAAAGAAAAAGCAAAAATCAGGGTAAACAGAGGTTGGGATTTTGGAGATAGAGTTTTAAAAGCAGTAAAAGTACTCCAATTTCAGATGTGGCATTCTTTCTTATGGAAGTGTTAGCACCTAAAGCTAATGTGCTTTTTTTTTTTTTTTTGGTTACACAGCCCATAGTTTGATATGTTGCCAAAAATATATCCAACTACTGCTGAATAAGCATATTAAGTGCAGAGCAGAGCGCATTAAACAATAAACTTTGTCCACTGTTGCATCTCATCACAAAGCTTAAGTGTTCCTAAACAGGAGAGCTTAATAAGGAAGGGTCTTCCAGCTCTGGCTTCTTGTTTGCATTGGCTATGACATTTGCTAGCTAAGCCAAACATGCTGTGTGTGATTGTGCTCCAGTCCGTCGCTTAATATTGTGGCGACCCTGACCGGCCGCTGATGTTCGTGTGTTCTGTTGTGTGTAAATGGGTTTGACACTGTTGTTGAAAGCTGTTCATGTATTGGTTACCGCTGTTTTCTAGCAAAATGCTGCGCTGTTCTGGCCAATGTGGGATGGGGGGAGGAACAGGTGAGGGAGGGTATAAGAGGAATGACAGGTGGGCGTGTTGTTTTAGGTTCTGTTGGTGGGCGATGGTAAAGTTCGGGAAGAGACCTGTAATGTTCTGTTTTTGTTACTTTTTCCAGTGAGCACACAGTGCTGCGTTTTACAACCCTTTTCTTTCGTGTTTTTGTACGCCTGTAAAAAGCCAAGAAAAGACAGAGACGGTGTTCTCCTCATTGTCAGTCTAGGTGCCAGCACACAGCTGGATAGTAGTTGCACAGTTAGGTTAGGATCGGACCAGCACTCCTCAACCCAGCCAGCGGTCGTCACAATATGTTACTGTGGGAACACAGATTTGATAGCAATGTTCCACACACAAAACAAGCCTACTGTCAACTACTATTAAAATGACCAATGTACCAAAACTGAATACATGTACCTTTATACCCCCTAGTGAATCAACATATCAAATACCTTGTACTGAAACGACTAGTAATAAATAGCTGGCCCTTTGGAGGAAAGAAAACGTTTACCGTGTTGTCATTATGACTAACCGTGGTCACACAAAACGTACTCACAAATATTGTGACGCAAAATATTTTCTGTTTACTACTCACCCAAAGGTCCCCTGTCCTATTTTGGCCAATTTCTCATATTTGGAGAACTCGTCACAGAAAGGAAATTCAACTCCATCGTAGTATTTCGACATTATGGCGGCCTCCCGGTCGGGCCTGAGGAGATAACATTGCACTCGATATTTAGATATTTATGCCGAAACACGAGCGATATGGAAATATACAAATAAACGTAAATGTCTACATGCTTACTTTTCAGCCCCTCCAGCGTTACTTGTCTTGTCTCGCTGCATTATTGCTCCTTTCCGAGTCTATATGCTGCGTTTATGTACAACTCAGTCTCCTAAATTTCTTCTTCGGCTCTTTTAATGGCGGTTGGCAACCAGCTTTAGGTGCATTACCGCCACCTTCCAGACTGCAGTGTGGATCAGAACGGCCCCTACATACCACCACGCCAAAATAACCCCATTCAGTTCACCTTATATTATCTTGTGTAACCCTGTGCTCTCTAAAAACCTAATTGGTGCTCTGTATACTATATCCCCTGACCTTTCTCCCAACACCTTCGGTAAATTAAAGTTAATTCCACTGTTGTACCCGGTACTTTTTACCATACTGACTCTGAGAGACATGGCAGTCCAAGTATCTACAAAACAGTGTTGATTTATTCCATGAACACAG